TCTCTGAAAGTTGCATTGAGGATCAAACATTCAACACATAACACCTTTTTAAAAGGATGCTTCAGTGGAAACTCATTCTTCCTCACCTTGTGAGCAGGCATTTTCTGGTCACCATTGGCCCAAATAACCATCAGAGAGAGAGAGAACAAGAGAGCACTGTGGGGACTATGTCTAATAGAGTAGATTATGGCTGTATTGAAGAAACCAAGTGAAAAGGGAGCCCTTAAAGGCAAAGAATGAGAAACTTACCTGGTCTGTTTGGACTGAAAATTCACAGATCTGAAGCAGGAGTTGTTATCAGTGCATTGGTGGAAGGGCTGTTACTAGGCAGATGTTCTTTTGGGGACACCTTGACCGAACGTCTGCTGTTTTAAAGACCATTAAAGATAAACCTATGGAATCTGTGTGTACATACGGAGGCATATGACCCATGTAGAACAGTGGATCTCAACCTTCCTAATGCTGAGACCATTCAATATCGTTCCCCATTTTGTGGTGACCTCACTGTAAAATTATTTTCGTTGCTACTTCATAACTGCAAATTTGCTAGTTACAAACTGAATTGTAAACATCTGTGTTTTCCAATGGTCTTAGGTGACCCCTGTGAAAGGGGTTGTGACCCACAGGTTGAGAACCGCTGATGCAGGAGGACTCTCTCATGGTGCATGTAGAAAGTATTTGTACCGCGATTATCTCCAGCAGAAGGGAGCAAATGCTCTCCTGGCTCTAGTGATGCCGTGTCTGACACGATCTTGATTTCGGCAACTTCTTACTGTGTTTCCTATGAACATGTGGCACTTTGAGAATCTCGGTTTTTCAAATGAGGTCTTACTTCAAACACACACTTTACACAGGACATTTCTTTGTCCCAACTTTGTTCCTAATCCAAATTTTCTAACGGTCTGACACTGAGGTGACTTAGGGACCTTGTTGCTTTTCAATTTTTTTTTCCTGGATGGAATTCCTGTCTCTCTTTGCAGCATGCTAACCAATTCAACCTGAACCTGTAAAATTAAAAGAACTCATTTGAGGTCCTCTAACTAGCAATCCGAGAAGCACAGGTCCAAAGAAGACAGGGAAGCAGGGTTTGTATGGCAAGCAGCACCAGCTGCTGACTGCTGGGAGAGAAGAGAGCAGGATCCGTGTAACCAATGGAACAAAGAAAGGAATCGCCATGCCAAGCAAAATGTCCATGACACAAGAGCTGAAGAGCCTGTGGACATGTGTTCAGAGTCGCTAGCTGTCTGCTCTTCCCATGTGTTTGTTCCAGAGACCTGCAGTGAAGGGAAGGGGACCAAGCTTCCTGAGATGACAGCAGGTTCTGTCAGTAGCTTTCCTGTTTGGAAAAATTCTCAATATTGCTTTTGTTCTGACTTTGTAATTCACAGAAGATAAGCTCTGCATTTTTAGAAAGATGCCATGTTTTAACCAGTGTCTGTAGGTGCTTCACAGTGCGGCACTTTGCAGATTACTTAGGTCTGTGAGCTGTGTGGATCACATGGAGATAAATACACAGAAGGATCATTGGCAGACATATTAGCCGATGGCTCGGCGTCAGGTTTCCTTTGCTTTTTATCTTTAATTAATGGTTCACCAGGAACATAAATTATTAAGTAATGAATGCATAAGCATAAAATAAGTTAAAATTGTCAAAACTACCACTAAAGATATTTAGCTTTAAACTGGGTTACTTAATCATGGACATATTCACCAAATGTCCCAGAATTGTCATCTAGGCTCTTGTGACATCCTCTGAGATACTGATACACTGATTCAAAGAAGAGTAATAAATGTTTTTTTTATTTCTAATGATGACAAATGTCATTAATACCCTTAAACTACCCAGAGCATCTTTGCAAAATCCTAGGTGTTTGCTGCTTGTCCTGAAGATCTTAGGAACTGGGACTTAAATCTTACCATCAAGTATCATTCTTCTTGTCCCCTTTCAAGCCTCATCTTCCAACGGCTCAGCAAAAATGCACTGAAAAAAATCACAATACTCCATTTGCAGTGACAGTCTCGCTTGCTTACATTGTTCTTTTTGTCTGATAATCTACCGACTTTTTGATCTCTAGCATAAATGGCAATATTATGGAGTTATTCTTCCATTCTTTATGAAATTAAACGTAGTCTGCTGTGCTCAATGATACTTCTTCCTTCCCTCGCTCCCTTCCTCTCTCTCTCCCTCCTTTACTCCCCCCCTTTCTTTCTGAGACAGGGTTTCTCTGTGTAGCCCTGGCTGTCCTGGAGCTCACTTTGTAGACCAGGCTGGCTTCAAGCTCCCAGAAATCTGCCTGCCTCCGCATCCCAAGTTCTGGCATTAAAGGCATGTACCACCACTGCCCGGCTAATATATTTCCTTTTTTAAAAATAATTTATTTTTATTTTATGTGCATTGCTGTTTTGCCTGCATATATGTCTGTGTGAGGATGCCAGATCTGCTGGAACTGAGTTACAGACAGCTGTGAGCTGCCTTGTGGGTGCTGGGAATTGAACTAGGGTCCTCTGGAAGAGCAATCAGTGCCCTTAATCACTGAACCTTCTCTCCAGCCCCCTGGCTGATACATTTCTATGACAACATTTACCACATTTTTAAAAAAATTACATTTGTAAGCACTCAGGGGGCAGAAGCAGGATCTCTGGGAGTTCAGGTCTACTCTTGTCTCGAAAAACAAAGACAATATTAAAAATTACATTTGTGGTGTGTGTGTGTGCGTGTGTGCGTGCACGCGCGCATGCACACACACACATAGGGCATGTAGAAAAAGAGGACAGCAGCAATAGCCAATTCTTTTCACCTGCCATGCTGGTGGTAGGGATTGAACATAGGTTGCCAAGGCTTGGCAACAGGTGCCTTCACCCACCGAGTCATTTTGCTGGCTCCCACATGGCATCTAATCTGTTTAGTTGGCTATTTTCCTTACTAATGCCAAGTCTCTAGAGTACAGGACTCATATTTATCTCTAGAGTCTCAGCACTACACACAATGATCTAGGACTTGGTTTTTTATAAACTCTTACTAATTTGTATGTGTGTGCACGTATGTTCAAATGCCCATGGCATGCGTGTGGGAGTGAGGACAGCTTGTGGAAATTGTGGAAATTGCGTTTCTCGTTTTACTACGTGGACTCCAGAAATGGAACTCAGGTCATCAGGCTTGGGGTCAAACACCTGTGCCCACAGAGCCATCTTGCTGGTCCCTTAGTGTAATAAATTATTCAAATAAGTAAATAAATGAGATGGTAACTGATGATATGGTTACAGATGCCAACTGTGTTGATACCTGATATAAAACATATCAATATCCAAAAGATGAGATGTGTTGTCAATAAAATCCCCAAACTAGAACATAAGCCTAACTTTGCTTCTTTTTGTGTGTTTCTGTAGGCTTCCAAACAACATAATCTAAAGCAGATCCAGAGACTCACAGGTCAGAATCATCCTATCCCTTACTGGTCAGCTCAAGGCTGACCTGTGGACCTACTTTAGTGGTTAAAGTTGGAAAAGGGGTGTGGCTGGAGAGTATGCCCATCTTTCTGACATATTTACTCCCAAAGTCATGCAAACAGCCCCATAATTCCCACGTTGTTTCCTTCCCTCATGCTTCTCTGTCCCATACATTCTCACATAACACCCAAAGTAAGGGACAGGAGACTGGACAAAGGTTAACCACCAAGAGTTTGGTGAGGGAGGCCCATCAACTTCACTTCCCTACCACGGATGTGGATGTGGGGTAGACATCTTTGAAGGAAAGGATGTATTAGGGTCTCTGTGTCCCCCACTACTGCATTCCCATTCTGGGGCTTCTAATGTGTCACTTGCAGTACATGATGGATACAGCATAGTATGCTTAAAAAACAAAACCAAACTTGATAGCTGGGCTGTACCACTAATCAGCACTTGTGACGGGTATGACTTCATCTTTGCTCTCCTAATTGTTAAATGACATCAGTAGTCACTCACTATGTTAACAGTCTCTTTACTCCTGTTACAGTTTCACAGTTAGAAGAAGCCAGGATGAATATCATTAAAGCCGATCTGACATGGTAAGTCAAGTCTCTCTTCAGACGATCCTATGACAAATACTGTGCTGACTAGTTTTGTGCTAACTTGATACAAGCTGGCATCATTTTGGAAGAGGGAACCTGAATTTCCCCCTCCATATTGTCCTGTGGGCAAGTCTGTGGTGCATTTTCTTCTCTCTCTCTCTCTCTCTCTCTCTCTCTCTCTCTCTCTCTCTCTCTCTCTCTCTCTCTCTCTCTCAAGACAGAGTTTCTCTATATTGTTTTGGAGGCTGTCCTGGAACTAGCTCTTGTAGACCAGGCTGGTCTCGAACTCACAGAGATTCGCCTGGCTCTGCTTCCCGAGTGTTGGGATTAAAGGCATGCACTACCACCGCCTGGCCCTCTCTTTCTTTTTTGAGACAGGGTTTCTCTGTGAACCTGGCTGTCCTGGAACTCACTATGTAGACTAGGCTGGCCTTGAATTCAGAGATGTACCTGCCTCTGCTTCCTAAGTGCTAGGATGAAAGGCATGGGCCACCATGCCTGGCTTCATTTTCTTAATTGATGATTGATGTGGGATGGTCCAGTTCTCTGTGGGTGATGCCACCCATGAGCTGGTGGTCTCAGATGGTACAGGAAAGCAGGGTGAGCAAGCCAGTAAGCAGGGTCCCTCCACGGCCTCTGCATCAGCTCCTGCCTCCTGGATTCATCTTACTCTGAGTTCCTACCCCGACTTCCCTTAGCAATGGACTCTGACCTGAGAGTTATAAGCTAAAAACAACCCCTTCCCACCCAAGTTGTTTGTGGTCATCATGTTTCATCACAACAATAGAAATCTGTGACACCTTCTTAATTGTAAATGCTATTTACTGTGATAGCAACTGCCTCCTTCCTAAACTAGCTTTCTGTTCTTACTAGCTGGCTCACTGGTGCTTAACTGTCACTTCAGTCCCCTGACATACTCTGCTGTGTTCAGTATTTCAGGGCTTCCCGTGGGCTGGACCCAGGAATACGTATTCTGGTCAATAGACAGGAGTCTTCGACAGATATTCCAACATCTGGAAAATGCAAGGTCAGGAAACAGAGTTTCTGGGTAGAGGAAGAGAAAGAAAGAGAGAGGGAGGGAGGGAGGGAGAGGGAGAGAGAGGGAGGGAGAGGGAGGAGAGAGAGGAGAAAGAGAGAGGGCGGGACGGAGGAAGAAAAGTAAAGGAGGAAGGTAAAAGAAGAAAGCCTGAACAGTGGAGAACTCCCTTGAGATTTATTTATTTTATGTTTCATGTGTATGGATATTTTGGCTGCATGTATATTTGTGCACCGCATGCAATCCTGGTGCCCACAGAGGCCAGGGGAGAGTGTATGATCCCCTGGTACTGGAGTTACAGTGTTTGTGGAATACCATGTGGTTGTTGGGAATCAAACTTGGGTCCTCTGGAAGAGCAGTCATTGTTTCTAACTGCTAAGCCATCTCTCTAGGCCCCACAGTATATATTACATTTATTTATTTTTATTTTTGTGCATGTGTGCACATGTGTGTCACATCATGTATGTGGTGGTCAGAGGACAAGCCACAGACGTCAGTTCTCTCCTTCCAACATGTGGGTCTTAGGGATCAAACTCAGGTCATCTGACTTAATGACAAGCATAGGTGTGTGTGTGTGTGTGTGTGTGTGTGTGTGTGTGTGTGTGTGTGTGATAGTCACTCACTGGGACTCACAAATTAGCCTTGGCTGTCCAGTGATTCCCAGGGATCCATTTGTCTCTGTTTACTCTGCATTGGGGCACTATAACCTTCTATTTCCATGTGAGTTCTAGGGATGGAACTCAGCTTCTCTATATAGCATGTACTTTACTGACTCATCTACTTTGCTCTGGGTGGAGGAATTCTTTACATAAATAATTGATATTTGTGAATGTACTCCCTCTTTTCCCTCACCTCTCCCTTAGGCCAAAAATATTTTGGATTTGAAATGACCACTCTCTTTCTTCTTCCTAATTTACCCCCTACTGATTCCAAAGAAAACTAAAGCATTTCTGTTTGTTTCTCAGGTCAACGCTTATGGAACTGAGTTTGCTAGAATCCCGAGAAATGTCTTGTTCCTCCGTCTCTGACATTGTCGTTCAGGAGGTTGTCCCACCTTGCTGTTACTGTAAAAAGGGAGAACATTCTGCTGACTATAGCGTGTCCTCTGGATCATCCGACAACAGCTCAAGCCTGTCTTATCTTCCAATATTTTCTGAAGGAGCAGTTGTACCTGTCTCCTCCCAGAAGGAACCATCTATGCCCAGCCACAGCACACCCTTGCCTGCTTTTCAGCTGACAGACCCTGAGAAATCAGATCTTCTTCAGAATTTGGCAGTGCTTCCTCCCTTACAAGCCCAAAGCTCTTTTATTAATTCGATTTTAGAATCCCTAGATCCCTGCAACCAAGAGAAAATGAAAGACAAGAGAAAGAATCGTTTGCTATCAGATCAGGGGTTCAATTCTGTCTTGAATGAGAGCCCGGGTCCACTAGTATGGGCTCCACTCCAGCTCTCTCCTTTAGTCAGAGGAGAACTGGAAGGACATATGTCTCAGAAGGTTTCTACTTTGCGGGAACAAGTGATACCTCTGCCTGTGAAGAAATCCTGGGAAATACTCAATCGTTTGATGGATGTACAAGGAGTTCCTGAACAAGAGCTCCCCAAAACTCAGTTACCTACATTCATTCCTCAGATTGCTGAGCAAAATACCAGCAGATCTCCAGATGTTTCATCGTTTCATCTCCATGTGAACATTGGGATGAATTCTGAACTAAGTAGGACAGAAGCAAAAATGTCACAGCCATTTACCTCAAACAAGCGGTTACAATCTGAGGATGACCGCCAAGTCCTTAGATATAACCCTTTAGTGATATCAATGGGCACTCCATCTCCCAGAAATTTAGGAGTTAACATAATCCAGGAAGAAACTGCTTTACTGAAAAGGGATCCAAAGCATGTGCTACAATTGAGTATAGAACAGAGGGTCATAGGTCTGCCAGAAAGAATGATACAGCCACACAAGGCACAAGTGACTAACTTGGAGCTGACATCCAAGATACCACGTTCAGCTACAGACAGCATAAAGGTCACTCCATTGGCATTGCTTCAGGTTATGGACTCAATGGGAATGATCCCAGAATCACATTCAGAGGTGATGGACTCTGTGGGGTTTTCCCAACAGCCACCAATTCAAGCTGAAACTGTGAGTATAACTCCTCAGCCATCAAATCAAGTAATTGAATCAATAAAAGGAACAAGTCCTCAGCATCAAACTATGGAAACAAAGAGTATGGTCTCAAGATCAAATCAAGTCACAGATAACATGAATGTAACTCCTGTAGCATTGTTTCATGTCATGGATTCCATGGGGATGATTAATGAATTACATCCACATGTAGAATCAGTAGGAATAGCCCCAAAGCCACAATACCAAGTCATGAAACCAGTAAAGATGGAGACATTGCATAACCATCAAGCCATTGGACCAGGAAATACGAGTCTAGGACCACAGCATACAGTCATGGAAACACTGAACATGACCGTGGAGTCACAAAATCAAGTCACAAAACACATCGGTATTACTCCCGCTCCAATAAATCAAAATGCAATAAAAATTAGCTCAACTACACAACAAACCATGGATTTCGTGCAGTTAATTCCACCAGAACAGCCACACATTACAGAATCTAGGGCTTTGATCCAAGGCTCACAGCCTCAAGCTAAAAACTTGACCCCAGTGTCAGCTCAATCAGATGTTCTGACTTCTACTGTGCCAGTAGGAGCTGTAGAATCTAGAAGTGTACCTTTACAGCCACCATCCAAAGTCCTGGAACCATCAGGAGTGATTCTACTACCATCAGGCCAACCCCTGCATGCTCTAAATGTGACCCCGATAGTACAGGTGTTACCCACGGGAATGATCACTCCATTACACGTTGTAGAGCCCCCTGGCTCGATTTCACAGCCAGTAGCTCAAGTCAAAGAATCTCTGGAATTGCCTTCTGGGTTACAGGTTCAAACTGGAGACTCCATGGGGATCACTGCTCAACATCAAGGCACAGAGTATGTGTCATTGTCTCCAGGACTGTCTCATCGGGTCATGGACCCTTTGAAGTTCACCCCATGGCACCAAGACTTAAACTATTCAGAGATGAACCCAAAGAAAAGTCACAAAATGACAGAAACTACGGGGTTGACCTCTGATACCTGGCCACAAGCGAAGGATCCTATAGAGGTAACACAGTCACATCATCAAGTAATGGAATCTATGAGAACAATCCCAGCACCACCAGATCAAAGTACAGTATCTATAGAAAGGAGCCAAAAGCATCAGAGTACAGAAGCTGAAGTAGTGCCAGTTACACCACTACTTCAGGAAATGGAATATTTGGGGGGAAACACAGTCCCACAGCCTAAAGTTATGGATTCAATGAACTTATCCCTAGAATTACAGAATGTAAAAACTGAGCACCTAATCCCAGATCTCAGATTGCAAAGTATGAAACCTGTGGACATAACCCCAGATTTAGTCCCAGAAAAAGTAAAATATGGACCACAGAACTCAACATTGGTATCTGCAGATTTGGTCCCAGAACTGCACCAGCAAAATGTGCAATCTGAGGAATTAACCCCCTTGCCACCATTGCAAAGTGAGAAATCTTTGCTATTGGCCCCTAAATCTCAGCTTCAAGATGTGAAATCTGGCCAACTGACACTTGGACCACAACTCCAAAACATACAGTCTTCTGGGTTGGCCCCAGATCCACATTTGGCTCCCGTTTCACCATCTCAAGGTACGGAAGACGTTCATTCTACCCTACCACAGGAGTTACAAGGAGATATAAAAGTGGTGGAGTTGACTCCAAGACCATCACTTGAAGATACCAAATCTGTGAACTTGGCCCCCAAACCATGTTCACAAAACACCAGCTCTGATAAGATAGTGCATGTACCATTGCTTGAAGATACAAAGACTCCATTGGTAGAAGTTAGGAGTTTAGTCTCTGAGGCATTGGTGGAAAGTGGGGAAGTTGGCGAATTGATCCCAAGCACACATCTTTATGAAGTAAAATCTATAGAAGTGAGCCCCGACCCAAGCTATCATTTCCCAGAACCCAAAGGACTGGCCCTACAGCATCAAGCTTCAGAAGCCAGAGTCACCTCTGATACTCGTCATCAGGTAGAAGAATCCGTTGAGTTGGCACACTTCTCATTAGGAATGACTCTAGCACCATTGTGCCAAGCCTCTGAATCTATGGAGATGAGCTCATCACCACTCCATGATATTCCTGAAACTAGGACCCAAGTTGTAAAAGAGATGGAAGAGACTCTAGAATCACAAAATGCAATTAAAGGTACTCTGGATTTGCTACCAGAATCAGAAGTGCAAAATCTGAACTCAGGAGTGATGGCCCCAGAGTCACAGCCCCCAGATGTGAAATTTGTTCATGTGACTCTGGAATCATGTTCAGAAGTTACTAACCCATCAGAAATAACTCTGAGACCAGAATATGACGACACCGATACCATCAGACTGACATTGCCTAAAGTTGATGATACCCAGGGGACCATAGTAGAACCATTTGTAGAAATGGGATCTCTGGGGTTGAATCTAGAACCAGGAGGGCAAGGTGAGAAATCAGAGTCCTTGGCACAAAATTTTAAATCTGTAGAAGTAATCGCTGAACCATCTGCACTAGTTGTAGGACCTACAGAGGTAATGACAGGACCCAAACCACATATGAAAGATGTGATCCCAGGGACACAACTCCACCAAATAGAGTATAGACAAACAGACACAGAATCACAGTTGCAAAATGAGAGATCTGTAAATGTAATACAACAGTCATCCATAGGAATGGTAGACCCTGAAAAGTCAAAACTGGAGCCAGGACTCCAAAGTTTACCACCAAAGCAACTGACTGAGGGGACACAGCCCCCAAGTATGAAATCTGTGGATTTAAATCTAGGCCCACAAAAGCTAACTGTCGACTCTGGATTGATTCCAGGGCCACAATTGCAAAGTGTCAGATTTCCAAACTTCTATCAAGGGCTATATCTTCAAGGGGAAACCCCAGTTAATTTCATCTCAGGCCCCCCACATTACGGTGCGAAATCTGATGAAGCAATATCCTGTTCCCCGGTGCCAGAAATCAGATCGTCAGATTTTATCCTGGGGCCAGCGGTCCCAGAACCACAACCACAATCACGGCAGGTGAGGTCTGTGGAAGTAAACCTAGGGCCATGCTTGCAAAATGTGAGATTCTCTGATGAGATCCCTGAATCCAAGCACCAAGGTTTCAAACATACACAGTTCATGCCAGGTATTCAGCATCAAGATAGGACGCCTCAGGGGTTTATGCCAGAATCCTTTTCACCATTGAGACGAGAGCCGCAGCTTGAAGACATGGAGCTTGTTCTGCCTATGGAAGTGTCAGAGTTTCATAGAACGAAACTCACAACACCAACTTCGGAACCACAATATCCAAGTGTGATCCCCCAGGAGGTAAAACCAGGATTGTGGCAACAAGATGCCAAATTTTCTGAGTTGGCTTCTAGGCCAAAACTTCAAGGAGTCAAATTTGGGGAGCAAACTCCAGGATCACTGTTTCATGGTATGAGTTCTATGACTCCAGAGGTAGGCATACCTGATCCCAACTTAGCAAAGATGACTCCAGGGTCACAAGATACAAGGCAGGTGAGTTTTAACTCGGGGCCATGGCTGCAAGATGTCAAATTTTTCGATGTAATACCAGGAACTCAACCTCAAGGTGTGAAGAATTCAGAGTTAAACTCGGGGCCACAGTTAGAGTGTGTAAAAGTTTTTGAGATGACTACACAGCCAGAGAAGCAAGGGATGAAGCCGGAGTTAATAGTACAAGAGTCACTGTTTCACGATATGAAATATGGCACAGGGAATCAAGCACCAAGCTTTGAAGATGAAATGTATTATAAAATAGCATCTGAGCCACAGATGCCAAATGCAGAAACAGTGACATCACGTCCTGGGATACACTTAGCAAGTGTAGCTCACTCTGAGTTGATCAGAAGACCACAGGCACAAAGTATAGAATCTTATGAGTTAAGGCCAGGGCCACATTTGGAAGACATGAAATCTAAGGAGTTAAGATCAAAGTCAGAGCTCGGAAAAGTCAAATCTATGCTGTCAACCCCAGGGGTACAAGCAAGACATAAGGAACTTGAGGAGCTGCCTCCAGACTCCAACTTGAAAGGTTTAAAATCTGAGATACTACCTTCAAGACCACAGTTACAAGACAGGAAATCTGGGGTCTTAACTTTAGGACAATGTCTCGAGAGGATAAAATCTACAGTGGTATCCCCAAGTAGTTCCCAGCCAGATTGTATGAAGTCTGTGAAGTTGCTTCCAGGTTCAAGAATTCAAGATTTGAAAACTGTGGGGTTGGCCCGTGATACATGGGTTCAAGATGTAAATACCATGGGCTTGAGACTTGAACCAAAGAAGCAAGGGGAGAGTCCTGTGACTTTTGAACCAGGGATGCTGTTTGAAGATAATCCTATGGAGGAGTTGCAAGAGTCTCAACTACAAGGTATAAAACCCAAGGAACCAACTTCACAGCCACAAATGCCAGATAAGAAACATGTGACCATCTCATGCTTGAAGCCACACATTCTAAAACCTGTGAATACGGCCAAAACACAAGGGAGTCAAGGAGTAAAATTTGTGGATTTAGTTGCAACACAACAGCGTCAAGGGATGGCACCCATGAATTTAACTCTTGAGCCTGGTCAGGATGACCAGATAACTGTGAACTCACCGGAGTGGAAAGCTGGGGGTTTTGACCAGCTGAGGAAACAGTTTGAGTCAGAAGATGTGTTGTCTATGGAGTCAGATCAAGAACCCAAACTAGCAGACATAAAACCCATAGAGATCAACTCTAAGGTACCATTGAAAGCTACACCCTCATTTGAATTGGCTCCTGAACCAGCTGTTCATAATGTAAAAGCTAAAGTGTCCCAATATGAGTCACAGGTGCAAAGTATGAAGCCTTACCAGTTGACTCCAGGGTCACAGATGCAGCAAGTGAAAGGCTCGGAGCCAACGTTAGAGTCACCGCTTCAAGGTGTGAAAACTATGGCACTGAAAACAGAGTCACAAACTGCAAGTACAAAAACTGTTCAATGGATACCAATATCTGAGTTTCAAAGTGGGAAATATATAGGGTCAAATTTAAGGCTACGTTCTCAGAGTGCCGCATCTACAGGATTGAAGCCGTCAACACAATTGAGAGGTATGAGGTCATCTGAATTGACTGTCAGGTCAAAAATTCAAGGAGAAAAATCTGTGGGGTTTCATCCTGAGCCCCAGTCACAGCCAGTAAAAACCTCTCCATGGCTTCAGAAAACCAAAACCTGTAACTTGACTTCAGAGCCACAGCCTCAAGGGATCAAAGCTGTGGAGCTAAACAGAGAGCCTCGAGTTGAAAGCATAACATCCATTCAGCGGCTACCAGGACCTGAGTTCCACAGTGTGAAGTTTTTAGGATTAAATCGTGGGTCACCATCTCAAGGTGTCAAATCTACAGAACAGAAACCACCCATACAGTTGGGAGGTGTGAAGCCATCAGAGATGACTCCAAGACCAAAACTTCAGGGAAAAAAATCTGTGGATTTTAACCTTGGGCCACAACTACAGTATATAAAAACCCCTGAGGCGTCCCCAGAACCAGAGCTGCAAAAAGGGGAAATCTTTGCATCCACTTCAGAGCCACAGCCTCAAGGTATTAAAACTGTGGAGCTAAACAGAGAGCCACAGGTTGGACATATAAGATCGATTCAGTGGCTACCAGGACCTGAGTTCCACGGTGTGAAGTTTTTAGGATTAAATCGTGGGTCACTATCTCAAGGTGTCAAATCTACAGAACGAAAACCATCCATACAGTTGGGAGGTGTGAAGCCATCAGAGATGACTCTAGGGTCAAAAGTTCAAGGAAAAAAATCTGTGGATTTTAACCTTGGGCCACAAGTACAGTATATAAAAACCCCTGAGGCGTCCCCAGAACCGGAGCTGCAAGAGGAAACAGCTGCATCAGCCTCAGAGCTACAGTCTCAATGTGTAAAAGGTGTGGCATCACACCACAGAGCACAGCTTGAAAATACAAAATCTGTCCAGTGGATACCAGTGTCTGACTGTCAAGTTAAGAAACCTATGCTGAATCTTAAAGGGTTACAATCTCAAGATGTCACCGCTAAAGAGTTAAAATCCTTGGTACAGCTAAGAGATTCGAAGACATCTGATGAGTTGATTACAAGGCCAAAGCTTCAAGGTAAACAACTTTCAGGGTCAACTCAGGAACATCAGCCTCAAATGTTCAAAACCACTGATTTCAAATCTGAGCTACAGTTTAGAAGTATGAAAGCAGGTGACCCAACCTTAAGGTCAAAGGTCAATAATACAAAACCGGCATTCAAACCCAGGTTTCATTTAGAAGACAGGAGCTCTCCTGGAGTGAACCCTGGAATACAACCACAAGAAGTGAAACCCTTAGGGCCACCCCCAGGGACACAGCCTCAAGCTGTGACATCTTTAGTGTTTAAACAAGAGTCACAGTCCTCAGAAGTGAAATGTGGGGTATTAAGCCAAGGGCCACAATCACAAAACAATGTAGAGTTGAAAAGTGCAAAATCCTCTGAGCTGGCATTTCAGACAAAGCCTCGAGGTATGAAGTCTGAGGTCAACTCTGGGCCCCAGTGGCAAAGTGCAAAATGTTCTAACTTGACACCTGAAACAGAGTCCCAAAATATGAAATGTACTAAGATAAGTCCCAGCTCACAGTTGAAAGGTAAACCATTTACTGAGTTAGCTATGGGGACCAAAATTCGAAGTGTCAAGCTAGACTGTAAACCTGGGCCACAGTGGCAAGGTATAAAACCCGATTCAACTCTAAGGATAAAGTCTCAAGGAATGGAAATGGAAGACTGTGAATCAGGCCCGCAGTTACAAGATCTGCAATCTTCAAGGACAATCATGGGTATAAAGGTCCAAGATGTCAAATCTGTGGACTTCAGTCCTGGACCACATCTACAAGACATGACACCTGAAGTCATCACAGAGAGGACGGTTCATGGTATGAAATTGGCAGAAACCAAACCTACTTCAAAATCACAAGGTAACAAATCTGAATTCACCCCGAGGAAGATGTTTTTAGGCACAAAACCTGTAGGCCTGAACTCAGGTCCCCCTTTACAAGATTTGAAATACCCTGAGCTCATCATGAGTGTGAGACTTCAAGATGTGAACTCTATGGGACATGTGCCAAGTATAAACTCTTCTGAGGTAGTGACACAAATAAAACCTCAAGGTGTAAAAGCAATGGACTTTAATTCTGGACTGCAGACACAAAATAAAAAGCCATCTGAATTGGCTCAAGGGAAAATGCTCCAAGACAGGGGATCTGTAGAGTTTAACCAAGGCCCAAAGTTACAAGGTGTGGCAGTGGAGTCAAAGCCCCCAAATGAGGGATCTGTGAAGTTAAACTCAGGCCCTCAATTACAAGATGAGAATTATTCTAAGTCAACTCTGGGGACAAAGCTTCAAGACAGAAGATCGAAGGAAGTCAGTTCTGGCCCAGGCTTGCAGAGTATGAAGCCTTCTGAAGTGATTTCAGAGGACATGCTTCAAAAAGAGAAACCCAGGGGCTTTGCAGATCAGCCACTGTGGCAAGATGTTAAATCTTTTAAGTGGGCTTTCTGGAAGGCGTTTGACAAGAAACCTTTGCAGTTGGAGTTACCCCCTCAGTCACAGGACAGGAAATTACCTATGTTAACACCAGAATCACATCTTCAAGGTATGAAGCCTGAGGCAGTCACCCCTGGGTCGGAGTTGAAAGGTGGGAGAGCTGGGCCCACAAATGTCCAAACAATGAAGAATACGGGGATCAGTCACGGTGTAGAATCACAGGTTGTGGTATCCTTTGAACAGGCCTCGGACTCAACAATTTATAGCGTGGAATCTTCTGAACTCAATGCCAGAAAACAGAAGCAAGATGGGAAATCTCACAAGTTGAGTCAAAAGCAACAGGCTCAAAGTGTACCATCAATAGTGTTCAGTCATGAGCCACATTTGCAACATATTGAGTCATCAGAATTATATAGAACGCTTCAAGACCTGAAATCTATGGAATCCAATTCAGAGCAACAGTTGCAAGATGTGAAATCCTCTGACTTGAGCCTGGGAACAGGTATGCAGTCTTTAGAGCTCAACCCTGGGCCACGGTTGCAAGAGATAAAACCTTCTGAGGTGTGTCCAGAGGCCAAGCTGCTAAATGAGCTATCTCTGCAATTCAAGCATGAGCCTAGACTGCAAGGTAGGGCATCCTGTGACCCGAGTCCAGGGCCACAGATTCACTGTAAAAATGTTACCGTATCCAACACCAGAACACGAAATGTAGAATCATCTGAGTTGCACCCCGGTCCAGATCTTCAAGGTATAAAATCTAAAGTGTCCTACTTTGGCCCACACTTGGAAGGTGTGAATTCTGCATGGACTCCCAATGCAAATTCTCAATATATAAATTCCAGTGGGTGTAAACCTGGGCCATATTTGCAAGATATGAATTCCTCTGTATGCATTCCAGCGCCAGGCCCTCAATGGATAAATCCTGCATGCAACTCTGGGACACATTCCCATGGAGTTAATTCTTCTGCGTGCATTTTAGGACCGAAATTGCAATCTGTAGATTCTACTGGGTGTACTGGGTGCACCCATGAGCCAAATTTACAAGATGTGAATTCTTCTCTATGCACCCCAGGGCCAAGCCCTCAGTGTGTGAATTCTTCTGTATGCACCCCAGGGCCAAGTCCTCCATGTGTGAATTCAAGTCCTCCATGTGTGAATTCCACTGAGTACAATCCGGAAGCACATTTGCAAGGTGTGAATCAATGGACACCAATTTTAGGGCCACAAATTCAGTGTGTAGATTCTACTGGGCATACCCCTTCATCACATTTGCAAGGTGTGAATTCTGCGTGCACTCCAGGGCAAAACCCTCAGTGTGAGCATTCTAATAGGTATAATCCTGAGCCACTTCTTCAAGATATGAATTCTTGTACAACATTTCCAGCACCACAAATTATGTGTGTGAATACTGTTTGGTGCAACACCAAGACACATTTTCAAGATGTGAATAATTCTGCACGTACTCCAAGACAAGAATCTCAGCCTGTAAATTCTACTGGATACAACCGTAGGCCACATTTACAAGCTCTAAACCTTCAAGGTATGAAGTTTTCTGAGTTGAACCCAAAGACAGGACTTCAACGAGAGATGCCTGTCATAGTTAACCCAAGACAACACTTGCAAGATTTGAAGCCTGAATCAACTCCAAGGTCAAATATTACAGGTGTACACGCACCTGTAAGATACAACCCTGGGTCACAGGTACAATGTATGAATTTTTCTGAAGTGATTCCAGGATTAAAATCACAACATACAAATCAAATGAAGCTTAGTTCAGGGCCACAGTTGCAAAACATGAAGCCCTTTGAGTTGACCCCTACATCAGAATCTCAGTGTAAAAAATCTGTTCTGTTGAGCTCTGGACCACCTTTTCAAGGTAGGAAATCATCTAACTTAGTGGGAGGGGCAAAGTTTCAAGAGATCCCATTTTTGAAGAACCAACTTGGGTCAGGGCAGCAAACCACACAACCCATGTTTGCTTCAAGGCCTCAGTCAACTGGTGTGAAATCTGTGGGAGTTTTACCAGCACCACTTGGTGAAGATAGAATGTCTTCAGAGATGAGCAAAAGGCCATTGCTTTGTACAAATCCTGTGAAACTGACCCCTGGCTGTGGTCTGCAGGATTTGAGAAGTAAGGAATTTTCACCAGAACCTTGTTTTCAAAACATTAAATCTGTTCCATTGAAGTTAGGGTCACAGTCTCAAAGTGTGACCTCAGAATTCACACTAGCCCACAGTTCTCAATGTGCTAAGTCTTCCTTTGCACCAAAGCCATGTTTTCAAGATACAAAATCTACGCTGCTAAGGCTAGGATCCGAACAGCAAGGTATGAATTTCCAACAGTTTCCTTTAGATAAACCAATGGTATTAACGCCAGAATCCACCAGGAAGTTCTCAGCAGGACCAGCGCTGACTAGTGTCAAATTTTCAAATTTGATTCCTGAATCACAACAATGTACATCAGAGCAGAAGTGGCAAAGTGTAAAACATGTGAAATTGTCATCAGTGTCTCTCCCACAAGCTGGAAACTCTGTGAGGTTATCACCAAGGCCATTCCCTCAAGATGTGACATCTGGGAACCAAATCCCCCAAACAAGTAATCAAATCACAGAATCCCCTAAAGTGACATATAGACCAGGGCAACAGGTGGTAGAGTATACAGAGATAAGCACGAAGATAAGGCACCAAGTCCCTAAGTTGGTGAATTATCAATATATGGGATCTTCAGAAATGACAAAAGGGTTGGGACATGAAAGCACAGAAACTATAAAGAAATCTATGAGGTTGGCCCCCAAACCAACAGATAAAGTCACAGAATCATTAGGGATGCCTCAGCAGCCAGATGCTCCTGTACCAGCATTTGCTAATCTGACTTCAACACCAAGCGATCAAGATTCAAACTCAGAATTGACCCCACAGAAAAGCTACCCAATCCCAGAAACTCTGGAGTTGCTGTCTTGTTCGTGGCCTCAATTTAAAGACTTCAAGGAGTTACAGACAAAACAAGGATCTGATAGAATGACCGTTGACTTCAAGAATTGTATTGCAGAAATGATGAAGCTAACTTGTGAGGCAAGACACCAAGGGAAAGAATTTCTTAGAGTGACTTCAAAGCCAGTAAATAGAGAGACTGAATGTACAGAAAAATCTCCAAGGCCATGTCCTCAAGACTTAGGACCTGTGGTGGTGAGCTCTGAGAGAAGATCCCAAAGGGAGCCATCTGTCTTGCATCCACCACGGCAGTCAAGGAAGGAAGCAGGTAGGCTAACAAAGCCCCAGCATGCAAACATGGAAAATGCAAGCAAAATGCCAATAGAATCACTGGATCAAGTTATAAACTTTGTAAGGATCAGTCCAAAGTCACTAGATATAGTGACAGAATCTACAAAGACACAGCTTCAAGGTCCTCTATCAGTGGCTCTCCCCAAAGAATCTGTGAATGTGATCCCTGGATCACCACTTCAAGTTATAAAGTCTGTGATGTTACCGGAGACTATCTCTCAAGTGTCAAAATGTGCTGATTCTACTCCCAAACTGCATGATGTGATATTTTCAGAATTTACTTCAAGATTTTGGCTACAAACTGTGGAATCTGAGAAATTAGTTGCAGAGCCAACACATCAAATTTTAGAAACAATAGACTTGTTGGGCTTTCAAGTTATAAAGACTATATTGGTCCCCAAGCCACTGCTTCTGATGGTAAAATCTGAAAAGCTGGCACCAGGACCAAGTCCACAGGCTATAGAGCCAATAGGAGTTGCCACAAGATCAAGCATTAAAGTAAAAGACTGTTTACTCCCAAGACCACATCTTCAAGACATGGGAAAACCTATGGAACGAACTCCAAGGGCAAATATTCAAGGGAAGTCTGCAGAATTAATCTTACAGCAAACATCTCCACTTGAGGAACCTCCAGTATTAACTCGCAAGCAAAGAGTTCAGGCTGAAAATTTTCTAGGGATTAAAACAGAATCTCCAAAAGATATGGAAACTGAGGATTTGAATCAAGGACAGGTGTCACAGGATAGAGACTCAAAAACGATAAAATCAGAAAAACTGCAAGCAGAAAATTACTTCTCCAGGTTTATACACAGTCCTTCAATCCCATTTATTTCAAGCTCTGTCAAAACAACCGAATTATCACCCCTTCAGGGTTCTGGAATGCCAGAAGTATCAAGAGCCTTGACTATGAAGAACTTTGGTGTTGGTATTTTGCAGTCCCCAGAGTCATACACAGACACTATTATGATACAATCATCAGCTCTTCCTTTGGTCTTTCCCTCTGGCAAGACAGGGAATGCTGTGGGAACCCTATATCCTGAGATTTGGGAAATGGATGTCATATCTACTAAGGAAGGAGCTAAAAAGAAGCAAATGGAGGAATTTGGGGATTCACTCCAAAGCTATTCTCCGTATCCACTGAGATTACTACCCTCAGAGTTTCAGGCAGGATTAGGAGCTCGAAGGAACTCTATCCGTTCTTTCCTGGGCAGACAACAGAATGTCTGGGAAAGTCATGTCTGTAGGCAGCGACTGCCTAGGAAATATCTCTCCAATATGCTAATGCTGGGGAATGTTCTGGGGACCACTATGGAAAGGAAGCTTTGTTCTCAACCATTTTTAACAGAAGGAACCACTATGGATATCTGTCGATCTATTCAGAATTTATTTGGGGTTCCAGCTGAACTGATGGAATTTTCCCAGAGCCTAGTAGAGAGGGGTCCAAGGACAATTTCTCAGACTTCAGTGTTCAAAAACTATATTCAGAGACATATTTTATGTCATGGTAATGAGAAAAGGATGCCCTTAAAGATGTGGACCCGTGGATCCACATCTTCTATAATACAGCAATATTCTGGTACTAGATTGGGAATAAAGAAAACAAATTCAAAACTCAGTGACATATTCCAGGAAGCCACTCAGCAAGTACCTGTCTCATGTCCGGGGGCCCAGTTTCCTGCCTTAGCAAAGTCAGAGTCTCCTCTCGGGATACTTTACAATAGGGATGATCCTGTTTCCAGGGAGCAGAGTAAGAACTCACAGGTTGATTCACCAACAAGGACTTTTGAGTCTCACCACTCTCTCAAGGCAAGTTATCTTTCCCAGACCAAGACCGACATCTCAGAACAGCTCCACCTGCTAAAAGACCTACAGCTAAAAATAGCAGCAAAACTCTTAAGGAGTCAAATACCCCACAATGTCCCCCCACCTCTAGCATCAGGTCTTGTCCTGAAATATCCAATCTGCTTGCAGTGTGGCCGGTGTTCAGGATTTAATTGCTGTCATAAGTTACAGTCTGCTTTCGGGCCCTATCTTCTCATCTACCCGCAGATCCACCTTTTAAGCACCCCTGAAGGCCACGGAGAGATTCGGTTACACCTCGGTTTCAGACTGCGAACTGGGAAAAGACCCCACGTATCAAAGTATCGTGGAAGAAACAGAGCGGATACGTGGAAGAGTACTGCCCCACCATCACGAAGGAAAGCTAAAGTCTATACTCCAGCTTCCAAGAGTCCAACTTCTCCAAGAGATTTCCAGTCCAGATATTCCCAGTCCCTGGATTCTGGAGAAGTTCATGTGAGACAAAGGCAATGGAGCAGCCATGGCGGGGTGGGAAAGGCAGAAGCCAAAGACTCGGGACACTACGAATTCTGTCAGGTCCACTCCTTATCAGAGAGTGGCTTTGAAAGTAACCAAGATGAAAACTGGGCTAAATCAAGCCTCAGAAAGACCTCTGACTTAAAATACCCAGCGAAGAAAACCACCCAGGAACTTAAAACACAAAACACAAAGTTCTACAAAAACAGAACCATAGAGGAGAGTCCTTCGGCAACGCTGACGGATCCATCAAGAAAGAGTATTGACACTGCTCAAACAAGCACTGTTTCTTCCAAGAGACAGCCTAAGAAATCCTCCCAGCCCAAGTTCATCCAGCTACTTTTTCAGGGCCTGAGGCAGGCCTTCCAAACAGCACACAGAATGTTGGCTGTTACTGGACGGAAGCCTGAGGAGGGGTCCAGTACAGACAATTTGTGGTCAAGCAAAAACCTGCACCCCAAACAAAAAGCCAGCGATTATTGTTTAACAGAAGAGGACAAAGGAGCCAGCACACAGGTTGTCCAGTCAAGGTCAACAGGTTTGACCCCTAAGCAAGAGGACAGATTGCAGGAAACTCATGCCCAATGTAGACAAGCTCAACAGCCAAAACAAGTGTGCGCTCCCCAACTCAGACTTTTGCAATTGCCGAAGACCATGGTCCCGCAAAGAAATCTCATTATCCAAGCTACTTCAGTCATAGAGCCTTTGAGTGTAGTTAAAAATGTCAAAGGCAAAGGAAAGAACTACAAAGCTGAAATCTGCGCTCTGGAGTCTAATATAGAGGCCAAATTTCAGACTGAGGAGATTCCTGCACCTGACGCCCCTTTGAAGAGCGCCCATCAGAGTCACTTTAAAGAGACACACACGCTGAAGGAAGAACAACACGGCTTCTTTGGGGAGAGGGCCCTACCTAAGAAGCCTTCTGAAAGGACCTATCTCAGCCTCCCGGGGAGAACTCATCACCGAAGTCTCTCTGAGAGGAGACATCGCAGTCCCTCCCTGAGAAAGCACAGCAATCCCTCTGACAGAACCCTTAGAAGTCTCTCCGAGAGGAGTCATCGCAGTCCCTCCCAGAGAAAAGATCGCAGTCCCTTTGTAAGAACCCCTCAAAGTTTCTCTGACAGGAGCCATCACAATTTCTTTAAGGGGAGAGCTCGCAGCCCCTCAAGGAGGAGCCGACCCAATCTTTCTGCGAGAAGGCCTCGCAGTCTCTCGGGGAGGAGCTCTCGAAGTCATCGAGAGAGAAGACACACTCCCTCCCCAAAGGGTCGACTCAGTCTTTCTGGGAGGAGCCAACACAGCCCCTCCTCTCTGAGATGCCGCAGTCCCTCCTGGAGGAGGCAGTTCAGTCCCACCCGGAGGACCCGGGGCAGTCCTTCGGAAAGGAGCCAAAGGAGCCACGGTAGTGTCTCCGAGAGAAGCCCTTCCAGCCCCTTTGGTAGGAAAAGACACAGCTCTTCCTCCAGCCCCTTTGGTAGGAGAAGGCACAGCTCTTCTGGAAGAGTCTACCACAGTCACTCCAAGCCCAGGCCCCACAGGCCGCCTTCCAGACGCCGCCACCGCAGCCATTCCGGGAGAACTCAGTACAGTCCCTCCGAGAGCAGACACAGTCACCACTCCGAGGGGAGCCAGCGCGGCCGCAGCGACTGCAGACCCCGTCACAGTCCCAGGGACAGGCTCAAGCACAGTTCCCAGGAGACGCCCACAGTTGGCGTGTCTCAAGAGTTCAAGACTTATCTAAGTATGTCTTCTAGGGACCGCACCAAAAACCTCAAAAGCTGGACCAGCCTGGGGGCTCGCAGTTAGGAGAGAAGGAGAGGCCTGCCCCTACTAATGCTGCGTCTTACAAATCTTCGCCTAGCTGCCCCCCCTTCCTGTGCTCGGCCACTGCCTGCGCCCTCAGCAACCAAAGAGCCGTCTGGGAGGGGCGTGACACCGGGCCTGTCATTTAAAGATCAATAAAGGGGCAATCATTGAACTCTGTTTGCAGCTGTAAGATCACTTATGGCGGGGGTGGGGGGGTGGGGGGTGGGGGCGGGGCCCCAGCAGTGCGAACGCCGGGCTCTCGGGCGGCGGCTCGCGAGGACCCCCCGCGGAGCTCCAGACTCCGCCCCCTCCTCACCCCAGCTCTCCAGCCCCGCCGGCCTCCCTCATCCCCCACCCAACCCCCCGGGTCGCGGGCGGGGGCGGGAATCTCAACAGAAGCCCGAGCCCGGGCGGTCACGTGACGCCCTCCCCCGCCGCAGCCCCCTCGGAAGCGGCTAGGCGGAAGTAGATGTTCAGATCTGGGCTCGTACGCCGCCGAGACCACATCCGGGAGAGGCGAGGAGAGCGGAAGTGGCGTTGGTCTGGCCGGAGCCCTTGGGTGAAATTGTTAGGCGTGGAGGGGGAGTGATGTCTTCCAGACTCGGTGCAGTCACCGCCGTGAGTTTCTTGGTGTGACCATTGTACTTTTAGAGATAGAACTGTCGAGCCGAGAACACGCGGTCCCTTGCTTTTGTCCCGGACCCAGAGTTGGTTTTATCAGAGCCCATCGTAGGCCCCACCCTTTTATATCAGGTCCACTGGCCCCCTTTTCTTTCCCATTTTTATTTTTGCCTGCCCCCCCCATATCCCCGGACTCAGTTCCCCGACAGGTTGTAATTAGTTTATCATTCCCTCAGCATCCCCAGTGCCTTCCGTTTCCTCTATCTTTTTTTTTTCCCTCCCCCGTCTTCCTTTTCGAGCCTCCATCCAGGATAGGGCTTTGAGAATGGGCAGAGATGAGAGCTCTGGTATTGTCAACCCGCCTTCACATTGTAGAAAGATAAGATGGCACACGTTCCCCGAAAAGTGTCACCTTCGTTCCATTGAAGTGGTTGCCCGCCAGAGCTTCACTTGTGGGCACGAGGGGGGTTCGTCTCTTTGTGGATGAAATTCGAAGGTCCCCAGCCCTCACCCGTGTGCTTGTGATTTGCTAGACCCCTGGACCCACACCCTTTAAGCAGCAGAGGAGCACCAGGATCGTGGGAGCTAAGAAGTAAGTGAGGTTTTCGGAGGACATTTTTGAAATTGTGTAGACACGGTGCCGATAAGGATGTTCTGTGTCTGCACTGTGGAGCGCCATAGCCACCAGCCAGGTGTGGTTTGGGGGCACTTGAGAAACTGAATTGTAAGTTTTATTTCATTTTAATTGACTTAAATTTCAGCAGCTGTCTGTAGCCGGTGGCTACATGATTGGACTGTAGAGGTGTGATCCTAGAGCGGGGAAGGGAAACATAGCTTGCAATAAAAAGGTGCATTATAATAAAAACTGTGTGATTCAACTAGTGGTACCCTGCATCCTCCCCTCCCCCCATCAAATATGTGCTTATAATTAATTTGATGAGCTTGGGAGGGAAAATGAAAATAGCTGTAAGAAACCGCTGTGTTTTCAAGCTACTTAGTTGTGGCACTGACATTTTGTGTACTGAATGTGCTAAGTTTTTCCATGGCTAATACAAAAAAAAGATTCCTATTAACTTGGACCTCCCTGGTGAATACATCCATTTAGATAACATTTATTTAATGCCGGCTCTGTGCCAGCTGTGTAGTAGGTTGGGCTTACAGGCTTGGGAAAGAGAATGAGACAGGTAAGCATAGCAACACAGACAAATGTAACAGGAAAAATGTGTTTTTTGAGGTAGGGTCTCGCTATCTGTAAGCTCACTATGAAGCCCGGGCTAGCCTGTAACTTGCAGTTCTCCTGTGTCTGCCTCCTGAGTGCTGGGGTTACATTCATGCTGTGCCACCAAACACTGGTTTTTTGATTGAGGCAGGGTGTCATTCTGTGGCTCAGGCTGATCAGAATTGACTGTGTAGCCCAGACTGAACTTGAACTTTTGCATTCCTATGCCCTCAAACTTCCCAGTGCTGGGATTACAGGCATGAGCTACTGAATGCACTGCTAGTAAATATTTTTATAGTGAAATTTAATTCTGTGCTTTTGGGAAGCAGAGTGGTGATTTTAGTATTTCCAGAATATGCCTTTCATAGATAGAATCTTGAAAGTCAAAGAATAATGCAGTTAGCTAGCTAGGAGACCCAACCCTCTAGTCTGAAGACAACAGCCTTTAAACAGGTAAAAGAAGTTACTTCTAACTAGTTCTGTATCTTTTTTTTTTTAAGATTTATTTATTTATTACATATACAGTGTTCTGCCTACATGCCAGAAGAGGGTACCAGATTGAACTGTAGATGGTTGTGAGCCACCATGTGGTTGCTGGGAATTGAACTCAGGACCTCTGGAAGAGCAGTCAGTGCTCTTAACCTCTGAGCCATCTCTCCAGCCCCTAGTTCTGTATCTTTGGCTTGGAAAATGGTGGAGGGTATTACAGGGACAACCTTTAGAGAAGTTAGCAGCAGCTAGGTCATGAGGGCATTATGGCATGCTAAGATGTTGGAATTGTAATTACCCTGGAGGGGAAAGGTCACTTTTGAAGAGATGAATTGAAAGGTGACTGGTACCAAGACAATTATAATATCCTAAGAAAAAAAAAGAAACATGGTCTGTGATCATCACTGTATTACAGATGTATATGATGTTTGGAGGGGAGAGGTAAGAGGGAGGAACATAGGGTGTCTACAGATGTCTGTCTTTGGCAACAGTTGGATTTTGGATTCATAAACCAAACTGGGAATTTTTGAACAAGAGGTAACGTTAGAAACAAAATGAATGGATTTGGGCTTCATTTCAAGAGTTGATCTAAAATACAGACTTGAGAATTAACTTCTGTGAAAAGTACTAGGAAACATGTTGTTTTCCTCTACAAGATGAGTGTATTCATAAGCTCACAGGAATTATGGTAAGAACAGTGTTTCTCAGTGTGCACGTTGGCTTGCGTGGAGAAGATTGGAAACAATGTGAAGGGAAATGGGTTGCCCATCCTTTAATCAGGATTGGACTCATTGAGAGTACTTAAAAAATGTTTTAGATTTGTTTATGTGCTTATTGTTTTGCTCACATGGGTGTCTGTGTACAGACAGAGGTCAGAAGAGGCCATCGAATCTCCTGGACCTGGAGTTATGGGTGATTGTGAATCACCGTGTGGGTGCTGGGAATCAAACCTGGGTCCTCTGCAGGAACACCAGATGCTCTTAAGCACTGAGCCATGTCTCCTGCCCCAGGAATACTCAATCTTCTGAGATTGCAAAGTTTGGGAGCTGACGGTCTGAAGTGAGACCTGAAAAGAGAATGAAACCTGGGGAAAACCAATCTTTAGAGGTAGATAAACTAGTGGGGCAGTGGTGGTGCACATCTTTAATCCCAGCACTCGGGAGGCAGAGGCAGGAGGATCTCTGTGAGTTCGAGGCTGGGCTGGACCGACAGCCTCCAAAACAATACAGAGAAACCCTGTCTTGTAAAACAAAACAAAACAAAACAAAAAAGGTAGATAAACTAGGAAAAGGCTACAAAGGATGCTGAGATGAACTAAAATGCCTTTTAAAACAAAATCTAAATATTTGCACCTAAAAGAATAAGCCAGGGTCTCTTACAAAGGCTTAATCCAAAAAGAGTTGAAAATAGGCCAACTTTGACATTTGTATGATTAGGAGCCGAGACTTGCTACACCAGTGATAAATTATAAAGTCATTAATCATGAAAGGTGTTGCATCATAAGGGCATTTTCTTGTTACAGTGTTGTCGTTTGTGAAAGTTTGAGATAGTATCATTTTTAATAAAACTGCTTTGGGTTGATAGACAGCACAAAATACTTGACATGTTTCTGTTGAGTCTTTTAAAAACAAGGTAGTAACCTAGGAGAGAGGTTTTTTTTTCTTTCTTTCTTTTGGTTTTTTGAGACAGGGTTTCTCTGTCTTGTTTTGGAGGCTGCCCTGGAACTCGCTCTGTAGACCAGGCTGGTCTTGAACTCACAGAGATCTGCCTGCCTCTACCTCCCGAGAGGAGAGAGTTTCTTAAACATGGTGACTTCATCTGCTGCATATTGATTGTGCTGGTCCTGCAAACTATTGGTTTTTGTCCATGCTTGTGCTTATTCATGAGATAGAAGATGGAGGTTTCTGGGTCCTCTGTTGATAGTAAAAAAAAATCCTCCACAAGAGTTTTCTAATGGGAATCTCATGGGATTTGTCTCCTAATGGCCTATTGATGGTGTGCAGTCTTTATTGAATAGAGATTGCTCCTGGAGGTCTGTCAATTCCCGTTATTAAGGTATAATTGACATACAGTAAATGCATTTACTTCATGTGTACACAATGTTCCATTTTGATATAAGAACGAATCTATCAAACTGCAATCACAATGACAGACTTTCTGTCTCACAGTTTTTTAAAATTTAAGTTTATGTGTATGAGTGTTTTCTTGCTTGTATGCCTGTATCACGTGTGTGCCTGGTGCCTACTGAGGCCAGAAGAGGGCATCAGATCCCTGGAACTGGAGTTACAGACAGATGTGAGCTGTCACAATGTGAAGGAATTGAACCTGGGTCCTCTACAAGAGCAGCCACTGTTCTAACTGCTGAGACATCTCCCCAGCCCCTCCGAAGATTTTTGTTTTGTTTTTGTTTCTTTCTTTTTCGAGACAGGGTTTCTCTGTGTAGCCCTGGCTGTCTTGGAACTCACTTTGTAGACCAGGCTGGTCTCGAACTCACAGAGATCATCCTCTGCTTCCTCAGTGTTGGGATTAAAGGCATGTGCCACCACTGCCCTGCTTTTTTTTAAGATTTATTTTTATTATTTTAAAGTATGTATTTGTATCTGTGTGGGTTTTATATATGTGAGTGCTGTGTCCTGAGGCCAGAGGGGTTGGATGATCTGGAGCTAGAGCTGCAAGCAGTTGTGAGCCTCCCAGTGTGTGTGCTAGGAACTGAACTTGGGTCCTCTAGAAGAGCAACAGATGCTCTTAACTGCTGAGCCATCTTTCCAGCCCCTCCCAAAAGTTTCTGGTGTGCTCCTTCACTCCTGTCCCTGGGCTAGTAGCTCTCAACTTGTAAGATAGTATCAATTATCTCTGAGGTATCAGGAAAAGAAAGACCAGAACCTCCGATTGCTGCCTCGCACCACAAGCAAGTCCAGGGTATTAGGGAAAGAAAGACCAGATGTCCAGCTGTTTGTATGAGAGAGAGAGAGAGGGAGGGAGGGAGGGAGGGAGGGGGAAGGGGGGAGAGGGGAGAGGAGGAGAGGCCGAGCAGCAGGTCCGAGGTATCAGGAAAAGAGACCAGACGTCCACTTGTTTGTACTAGGAGAATGCATGTGTTGCCTTTATTGCCAGGAGAATGTGTGTCTTCATTACAAGTGCTAAGAGGTCTCTCTCTTGTAGGAGGGAGGAGCTTTATATACAGGTTTACAGCACAATGGAAAAACCCCAGGTTGAAGAGAGCTTGTTTTCCTCCTGCTGAATGTTGATGTCAGAGGGTCAAGGCCAGGGTAGTAAAAGCCAGGACTAGAAAACAGAAAGCACTTGGACTGGAAAACAAGTTGCACTTGTAGGCTGACCAGCAACTCACAGAGACCCTGTGGGGTTGGGGCCCAACATCTCCCCCCCTCTTTATATATAAATTAGCACCTATCTCAGGTGACTAGGACATTAATGCCAATCTTAGTATCAATAACCAACCCTGTATAAATGTAAACAAACATTTATAAACAATATTTGGGAATGTGGGCATCATTCTTTCCAAACTACTTCCTGCTGTTAAGGGGCGCTGAAATATCATGGGGATCATGACCAAAAAAAAAAAAAAAAAAACCAGAAACCTGTTGAAGTTCTTGTTTTTGTGGTCTGTAAGGCTGCATCATCTCAGCTGTTTTAGATGTTGGATCACCTGGGCCACTGCTTCAGGCGGTCTTATTTCATCAAACCATACTAGTCTGGAAGGAACCCACAGCTTTTTATGTTCTGTGGAAACAAAAGCAGAAATTCTTTTCCCAAGTAACCTGTCCTTAAATTTAGAAGTCAAAGAATTTTCAAAATATATAAGTTGGATTAATTTAGCAGCATTAATAATCAAATGTCATTTAGCAGTTTTTGTTCCTTTCTTA